CCTCCCACCACTAAATTTTTGAGGAGCGGCTAATTGTAGCCCCCTTGGAATACATTGTTGCCAGATTTCAGCTGATTTGAAGCGTTATTATAGAAAGAATGAGAGAGAAAATGATGAAGATATTATATATTTACCGAGTTATTTAAAATATATACACCCCACCACTTCACTTCTCACTTTTAACAGTTACTACCTGTTTATGATTTGACACCTGACAACATTAGATACTAGCAACGCTGTATTCCAAGGGGGCTACAATTAGCCGCTTCTGCAGGGACTGCGTGTTCACTGGTATTCCCTATCATTCAAGAATACTATTTTTTTCCGCTGGGGATCGTGCACCCATGATTCGGCAAATAGCAATATTCAATGAACCAAATAGTATGTAGTCTGTGCAATGAACAGAAAATATCGGGAACAGCAGTAACAGGCGCCTCCGATATTTTCTTTAATGTGACCCATAGAGTAAGTAAAATAATGTTTTTATTATTTTACTTTCTCTATGATGTGACCCATAGATAAAGACTGATGTGACTAGACTTGTGAGCATAGAACAAGGCTTATATGGTCACAGGCACAGAACATACCCCCATATAAGGGGGATATTTTGTGGTCACAGGCGTGTGTGTGTGACTGACTTGACTTGTTTTTTCAGAATTCTGAACTGTTCCTTGTCCTTGAACCTTGATCTTTTTCGACCAATAGCAGTGCATTTGTTGCATCTGCCCAGTGGAGTAGTGGACGAACTACATTTAAATTTGTATAGGAGCTCTTTACCTAAATTATTATACCTTAAGTATTAAATGGCCAATTTTCATTTAAGCGATAAGATGAATTGTAATCAGTGATTAGCATGAAAATGGAATATTTTTTACATTTTACTGCCCTTAAGTGGGAAAGATAAAAAATGTGGTCTCCTTTTTTTGTGTTCAAATAAAGTTTCGATAAAATGGTAAAACGTTACTCATAAAAAATGTTATGACTTTTTTGAACATTAGCGTTTGAATACATAAAGAAACAAAAGGCATTCGGTCTTCGGTCATAATTTATTGCTGACCCAGCAAATTTGCACCCAAATTACTAGGAAGTGGCGTGGATATCCTTCAATGGAACAATTAGTGCAGTCGGATTAGATTA